CTATAATCAAATAAAATTGAACTTTTATATGGACCAGTACAAAAAATTTATTGACATACGCTTACTTACTCCTGATACATTTACTTTTCAACTATTCTCGAAAAAAAAATCTTGACTCGAAGTTCACAACTGCGAATCACAAAAACGCATATCGATAAATAGTAATATGCAGATATGGATATCCGACAAATTGATGAAAACATTAATAACTCTGTCAACCCACACAAATAATTTAGGGGAATTCCCTTTTTATAACTTTGGAATTTCTCACAACTGAGTTGCCATGATTAAACTCGAGTTGTCATATTTATTTTGAAAATGGGAAAAATTTTCAAAAGTTTAGTTCGATTGAGATTTTCTGGTAAAGATTCGAGGGCCCCCTGAGCTTGGGGGCCCCGGGGCACTGCCCCGCCTAGCCCCTTGGTAGCTACGCCACTGTTTCTAGTCGTGTGACCTACCTTATGGCAAACAGTACAACTTTCTTTACATGCCCTAGCAATGTGTCCTATTCTTCCACAGTTGTAGCATTTTATTTCATCGGATTTAAACGCTTCATTACACCATCTTGATGTGCTAGGTATGTTTAAACTGTTTATCTGTTTATGTATTTTATTAACCAGATTAAAAAATGTTTTATCTGTTATTGGAGTTATATCCCAAATTGTTTTAAAATAATTTAGGCTTTCTGGTAATATATTTAAAATTTTATTTATTAACATTTCTTCCGAAATACTTTTTGTTTCTAATAAATTAATTTCTGAATACAGATTTTCCAAATTGCTAATATCTTCAATAATATTCCCGGTAGAAATGTAGCTATAGAATTTAATAATTTTTTCATGATTGTCTTCTTTTCGGCCATATTGAAAGATCAAATCTAGTTTTTCAAAAATTTCTTTAGTTGAAGTACAGTTTATGACGTAATGTAGGAATTTTTCATCAATGTTTGTTAAAACTAGAAATCTTGCTTTCGCATCATTATAGTCCTTTACACCCTCTACAAGTCCCTTCGATTCCAAAAATAATTTCGTAATATTTCTCCAATTTTTGTAATTACTCTGATCTTTCAATTTGTTAATATTCTCCATGATCAATAAAACCAAACTTTTTCTAATAAATTTTAAATATTACCGACTTTGTTTTTGAAAAACATCCGTTGCTATGTTTATCATTCGTTGCTATGCTTATCCGGACTCTGGCATATCCATTCTTTTAACACAATAATCACCGCATTTTGTATTTTATTTTATCTTCATCCCTGGCCTCTCTTTAAGTGCCCATAACCTGATACCCGATGGTAAAACGGGTATAGAGAAAGACCAGGGAGCTTTTAGATCACATGAGTTTATTTACCACCAAAATTATATATATGTACTTTATAAAAACATAAACAGCACCGACAACAGCTTTACGAAGAGAGACATTAATATATATAAACAATAGACGCGCATGTGCAGAACAGATTGTCAATATTTAAATTAAAATTAAAAAGATCTTAAACCAAGAAGGAGGTCTCCCTCAACAAAGTCAGCTATAGCTGCAAGTATGGACGCCGTGCCGCCAGGGTTAATTTCAAAGATGATGTCCAACTGTATTTGGACCGTATAATAGCTTATTTTTTCATAAGGTTGGTTCATTGTGGAAAAAATTGACTTCGTCAAGGACTTTATATAGGTACTTTACGATTGATACATAGATAGATAGATAACACTTTATTGTAAACACCAAATACAAAACACTCAAAGAAAAAAGAACAATATTAAGCTATGTGTCACAATCGGCGGTCTTATCATTAAACAGCGATCTCTTCCACCAACCTTTGTATGGAGAGAAGAACTATCTTAAAAGTACGGAAGTTTGATAATACTATTAATCTTATCATTACAATACATATTTAATAAATATACATTAAACAAACATAACTTCATTTCATTTACTTATATAGGCGTAAACATATTACACAAATAATAAAATATATATATACATACATACTATATAATACATACTATCCAAATAAATATAGCAAACAAAACTACCATCTGTCAATAAAAAGAAAAAAAAAGAAAAAAATAAAATAAAGCAGTTAATTTGCAGTAAATAACTAATGTGGTAGATAAAGTACCTTTACGCGCTTTTTATAATAGAGTAAATAAGAGTTTAATGTTTGCGAGAGTCTTATTGGGAGAGAGTCCCAGAGAGGCACAGCCCGAACAGAAAAAGAAGCATCGTAAAAGTTAGTGCTATGTGGTGGCATTTCAAGTAACAGATTTTCTGTTGACCGTAACGATTATGAATTGGATTTCTAAAGAAAACTGAAGCGTTCTTTGAGATAACGAGTAAATATATTGTATAGAAGATATAGTCACTTGAGTTTAGTGTGATAATGAGAGACATGGTCATACTTGCGAAGGCCAAATATGAACCTTATGCAGAAATTTTAAAGGCAGTCAAGTTTATTTAGCTGATCCTTCGTAATATTAAGAAAGCAGACGTCAACATAGTCAAAAGCAGGAAGGAAAAGAGACTGTGCAAGCACAACTTTAGTGGCAGTGGGTATGAAATTACGCAATCCCCTCAAAGAAGCCGCAGAAGCATACAACTTCCGACTAACCGTTTGAAGTTGTGGTGCCTAACTCAGTGTGTCATCCATTATTACTCCTAAATTCCTTACTGTTGCGGTAAATGGTATAGGGATTTCATCAAAGATTACTTTAGGAAGTGTTTGAAAGTCATCCTTAGAAAACAATCTGGAGCTACCCACTATCATAACCTGAGTTAACTTTTAGTCCAAATGATTCAGTCCATTCATTGATGCGGCACAAGTTAACATTCATTGAAGATATCGCTTCAGCTAGCTATGAAAGTGGAGCCTGACAATGAATCAGAAGGTCGTCTGCATATAGGTGGTAGGAACATGAACATGAAAGATTATGAGAAATAGCATTTATAAAGGTTGCAAAAAGTAGCGGAGATAAGATGCCGCCCTGTGAAACGTCAGCCGTCGTGTTGCACCATGACGAATGCTTCTCCTTAAGACGAACACGCTACCTACGTCCATACAGATAACTATGAAACCAATCAATTACCGTTGGATATATGTTAAGTGAGCGCATAACGGCAAGGAGTAACTCAAAGACGACCGTGTTAAATGCGTTACTGAAGTCTAATAGTGTTAGAACAGTTAACTGACCATTTTCCATTCCAAAGCGAATGTCATGGGTAACCTTTACCAACGCAGTCAGTGCTGTGTCCAGTACGAAAACCTGATTGGAGAGAGTTTAGAAGATCGTGGCAAATAAGCAATATATTAATTTGCTTATAAATAAGACGTTCCAACACTTTGGATAAAAAAGGGAGAATGAAAAGTTGGAAATAGAACTATTGAAAAGGAAGTCAAGGATGGGAAGGATAATATCAAGGATGGGTGTCAACATATTTCGAATAATGCCATCACTACCTACAGCATTTGAGGTGATCGATAGAAAGCTCTTCTTAACATCACAAACTGATAATTGATCAAAGACAAATGGAGAGAAACTGGGGATCGGCAAACAAGAAATATGACTTATGGTTCTAGATTTAATGGTATCATGAATAGTGGATGCGTACGAGAAATGAATATTACTTACTATATTACTTACTTAATTCTACTGAGTTATGGACATGGCGGCTCATTGCGTCCCTACACACATTGCACTGATTACGTATTATGTTATAGGATTCTTTATTATGATCCGTCGGCCGACACTTAAACCTGGTTTTGGCTGCAACCTTTTTATGCATCAGCAATTTTATATCATCCGTAAGCCATGGAGCAGGAAGATATTTTAATTTAATCACCTTAAAGGGTTTTGTTTTGTGTGTAATTTCTTTTCTGACTAAAAACGGTGCGACTGAACTTTTTTACAGCCTACAGGGTCGTGCTATGGGCACTTAAGGCTACAGGTCAAAACTTCAATATGAATAGAAAAACGTTTCCTTTGTTTTATTATAACAACGATTTTAATAATAGAGTATGGAACAACAACTCCAAATCAGAATTCTTTTTAGAATGGCAGGCACACTCACCCAATATTTTCCAAAGAAGGCGGTTGGCCACAATCCATAGAGAAATTTATTGCAGAAAACAGTTTAGCGGAAGGCTATGTCACTTCAAAATTGCCATCTTTTACAGAAGACGAGATGAAACTTGCCCAAGGTATTTTTGTGTGTATTATCTATGCTAATCTTAGATAGAAGTTAAGTTTCTTATTTATCCAATCACGAATATTATTTCAATTACTAGTAGCTACATCACATGGGAGACATTTAATTGAGGCGGATGCAAAACTCAGGAAAGTATAGTAATTTAATAAAGTGCCTGTATTATTTGTATTAGGTAGGTAATTAACGCTAGTATATATTAAAATGTCATGCGTAACATAGCAGTTCAGTACCTCTAGTACGAGTTTGTCTATAAAAAGTATAATTTAGTTTTCGTTAAAACGAAAACCATTTGATTATTATACAGATTACGATATCGTTTATAGTTTATGTTAAAATTTATGAGACATCGAATTACCTATTTCAACAGAATGAACTTAACAGCTTTGTTGTGCTTTTACATTTTATAAAAAGAAAAAGATAATGACGTGTATTCCGTTTTCGAAAATTATGTTTGTCATATTTTGTTTTCATATATTTCACAACGGCGCCATTAGAGGCAACCATTATAAACTAAAAATTGTAGTTTATCGAGTAAACGGAAATATGAGTTACAAGTTTACCGTCTAATTGAAAGTAAATCTGAAAACTATCTTAGTTTCATACGTGTCACAGATATTCTATTCCTATGTCATTTCGAAACTCACTTCACGCGGATGCCGCTTTTTTGGAGTGAATTCGTACACCTGAGTGACTATGAATTCGGGTTTGTATCTATACAGAATCACAGAGCTTATTGATTAATTTGTTGTAGGCACATATGACTTTTTAGCCTTAAATCAATATAACGGACGTTTGATAAGAAGAGCGAAGCCAGGAGAGATTGTTAGAGTGGTCATGGTGGAAGGATCTCCTGAATTAAAAGCAGTATTTCAATATCATCCAGATTGGAAGGCGACTGGTTCACGAGTTCTATGGGTATGTTAATAAATTAATAAATTTATAAATATTTAAGAGCTTGATGCCATGGTTAGTGCGTTCGGTCTACGACGCGGTCAATTTGTGACCAAGAAATAATATTCGGAACGCCTCTGTGCTTTGGAAGGTACGTTCGTGGATCATGGTCCATTCTCCCTATTAGATTCAACTAGATCTATAGAGAAGGCCTGTCCCCCTGCGTGGCAGACATCCTTAGGCTGGCTATGTGATGTAAATAAATACTAGACATCACATATATTGATTAAATTTCAAAATAAATAATGGGCTTGAAGTCAGCGGGTGAGACACCTGGCTACGGGGCTTACTAATACTAACTTTTAATTTTTACTGTCATAATAAAAGCAAAGCATATATGAAAAAACTATATATAGTGACGTCTACATAACTTATAAGAAAAAAAGTCAGAGCTTAAAATGAGGCCTTTGCATGTTTCACCCATAGAGTATTTAGAATGCAATGGCGTAGCGTAGTGGGGGTACCAATTCATATTTTTAACGCAACTATAAATTCGGACCGGATGAAAAGAACGCGGAATTTTTCATTACTTATTCTATGAATTCCGAGAATACTCTTTCTTTTAATGATATTTTGTAGCGAATGACAACGCCATCTATACTGACTTATGGGGATTCAAATTATTTTATTTTGTTCTAATCAGCAGGAATGACGAGAATACTCTTTTTTTAAATGATATTTTGGAGCGAATGACAATGCCATATATACTGACTTATGGGGATTCAACTTATTTTATTTTGTGCTAATCAGCAGGAATGACTTCTATTATATATATATTGGAAGCAATGCTCAAGACACCAGAGCAAAGCTGACCCGACATCACACCGAGGATATCCCAGACATCAGCCTGTATGAGATTAGAATGGCACTCAAACAGCAAAAGAACAACAAGGCACCGGGGGATGACGGAATCACTACTGAACTTTTGCGAGCGGGTGGAAAACCGGTACTCTTAGTCCTCCAGAAATTGCTCAATTCCGTCATTCTCGAGGGTACGACGCCAGAAGCGTGGCACAGAAGCGTGGTTGTGCTCTTCTTCAAAAAAGGTGACAAGACCATGTTGAAGAATTATAGCCCAATTTCGCTTCTGAGCCACGTTTATAAGCTGTTTTCGAGGGTCATTACGAATCGTCTCGAACGCTGGTTTGATGACTTCCAGCCTCCCGAACAAGCCGGTTTCCGAAAAGGCTTTAGCACCATAGACCACATACATACGCTGCGGCAGATTATACAGAAGACCGAGGAGTATAATCTGCCACTTTGCTTAGCGTTTGTGGACTATGAGAAAGCCTTCGATTCAATCGAAACCTGGGCAGTACTGCAGTTCCTCCAGCGATGCCAAATCGACTACAGGTACGTCGAAGTGTTAAAGCGTTTGTATAGCAACGCCACAATGTCGATTCGCTACCAGGAAGAGAGCACGAAACCAATCCAATTGCGCAGAGGCGTGAGACAGGGAGATGTCATTTCTCCGAAACTGTTCACGAATGCATTGGAGGACGTCTTCAAGCTCTTGGAATGGGACGAATACGGCATCAACATCAATGGCGAATACATCACTCACCTTCGTTTCGCCGATGATATAGTCATCTTGGCAAGATCGATGGAGCACATCAGTACAATGCTCAGTGACCTGAGTATCGTTTCCAAACAGGTGGATCTTAAAATGAACATGAACAAGACGAAAATCATGTCGAATGTCCATGTTGCACCCGTACCGGTAGTCATTGGAACTAATACTCACGAAGTTGTCGATCACTACGTGTACCTTGGACAGACAATCCAGTTAGGTAGATCCAATTTCGACAAAGAGGTCGCTCGAAGAATCCAACTCGGCTGGGCAGCGTTCGGGAAGCTACGCGATATCTTCACGTCCAAATTACCACAGTGCCTAAAGACGAAGGTGTATAACCAGTGTGTGTTGCCAGTGATGACCTATGGCACTGAAACGTGGTCCTTAACTGCTGGCCTCTTAGAGAAGCTCAGAGTCGCTCAGCAAGGCATGGAGAGAGCTATGTTAGGGGTTTCTTTGCGCGATAGGACCCGAAACGTGGATATTCGCCAAAGAACTAGAGTGACCGACATAGCTCGCAAAGTTTGTAAGCTGAAGTGGCAGTGGGCAGGTCACATCGTTCGACGAACCGATAACCGATGGGGACGAAAGGTTCTCGAGTGGAGACCACGAACCGGAAGACGCAGCGTGGGTCGACCCCCGACTAGATGGACGGACAACATCGTCCGAGTCGCGGGCGGCCACTGGATGCAATGTCGTCCGTCGTGGCGTTCAAAGGGGGAGGCCTATGTTCAGCAGTGGACGTCTTCCGGATGATGAATAAATATATAAACATATATATTAAGTTATTACGTTACGTTTCTGTAATAAAGTATATAAAGTAAAGTATATATTTAAAAAAAAATGTTTATTACGTTTCTTTAATAAGGTACGTGATGTTTTGACTATTCAAAGTAAGTTTTATTTATGGATCTTAAGTTGTTTAGTTCATATTTTATTTATTTAAAATATTTTTTATTTTTTAGAAGACAAGCCAGCTTTTTAGGATACAAGTCCTGTGTTTGCATGGGACAAAGTACACCTAGACTAAAAAACAATTATTTGCAAATCACACGAAAAATTGTCCTCTGTGGGGACCACAAATCTCGATCCATGGGCAGTTGCATAGCACAACTAAACCACTCGACCAACCATGCAGTCAAAATCTAACCTGTAGAATGTAAAATAATGATGACAGTTCTTGCCGAAAAATTCTTGATTTTAAAGAATTTTTATATAACGAATAGTGTATTTATATAAAACACCTATGAAATATCTTATATGTATGAATACGCAGCAAAATTGTCTTACAAAACCCAATACGCATGCACCATGCATTAAATAGTTGTCTGCATTTTTAGCTAGTCGGTCATCCCTTTTTCTCTTACTCTACAGATTTATCCTGAAGGTCTCCGTCGAAGTTTGGTGTGGTTAAAGAAACAGTACGGCGACGTAGAGATCGTTGTTACGGAAAACGGTTATAGCTCTAAAATAAACAATAGGGAAGACACAGATAGGATTAACTTTATCAAAACTTATTTAGAACAGGTATATTGATTTTAATATTATTTTAAAAAATATCGACCCGATCCTCATCTAGAAACATTTCATACCAAATATATTTCAGGTCAAATTGATTTTTTTTGTAACATTTTTTACTTATATTAGATAATTTAGATGCATACACACTTAATGATCCATATTTGATCTCATCATCCAATAATCTGCTATTGGCGCACTCAATCATACAAAATCTACCAGTCGAAATCAGAGGCATGAGACAGCCATAGAATCCATTTTCGACCCACCTTTCGGCAGTATTAAGATTGTTAAGTATTTTGTAATAATTGAAATGCGACTATGTAATGATGAAAGATATTAAAATATTAAAAATTACATCACAGAAAAAAAGGTATAGTGACACTTGTAGTACTGTCAAGTACGTACGTTAAAATTGTTATTATCAGTGTTAAAATTGTTTTTATTTGTCCATTTCGTCATAGTTACTGCTTGCTATTAAAGAGGACGGGGTCAATGTTACTGGTTACACCGTGTGGTCTTTAATGGATAACTTCGAATGGGGTGAAGGCTATGGGTAAGTATAATATCGATAAGTTCTTTTCATATTTGTATTGATTAAGTTTCGAGCTTTTGAAATTTCAGTTTTTTAATATGTTAGTTAAAAGGAATGGAAATGACTGTCTTTAGTCCATTCGTGTCCTGCAAAAATCAACTTTTGCTAGATCCGCCATCTAGTGGAGGTGCCTTTTTAGTGCTTCCGTTTTTCTTTTAAAATACTTCCTCACTTTGACCTAAAAATTAAGTAACGCGTCTAATCATATGATATGAACAGAAAATAAAATAAAGTCAAGATAAAAATTGCGAGTTGATTATTATTTTTAAATAGTACTCAGGTAATCGGGCCCTAAAATAACAGTTTGCTACACTACCGCAATGCGATTCGGACTCAATGATAGTTTGCTACGTTTTGTTTCATCTACAACGGAAAAAAATTTTTTGTTCATAAGGTTAAAAAGTGCACATTTACAATTACGTTTTTGATTTATTTCTATATTTACGAGTGAAACTATAAATAGGTTTGATTAATTTTTTAAGTAACTGAGATTATTACCTCAAAACATTATTTACAAATTACGAATCTCCGTGTCCTCAACATAAAAAGATGCTAAAATATTATTTTATTTTATGTAAAATCTAATTCAAATAATCAGTGATGATGGGTAGCCGCGACCTTTAAAAAAACATGTGACAGGTCAATCAGTTCTTGTTTGCAGTGAGAGTCTAAGTTTATCTAACTATATTTTTAACCTGTTTCTAGTTTAACGTCCATAGCTTATTTGTTTTAGGTCGATGTTTGGGTTATATTCAGTGGACTTCAATAATCCAAGCAGACCGCGTACAGCGCGTCAGTCAGCTTTGTATTACGCAAATGTTATCAAAGCTCATAACTTGGATGTAACCACATCATCGACAACCAACTCAAGCGAGACAAACTAATACAGTATTGCAACTAAAGTTAGCAAGGATAATAAAGGAAATGCACTCAGAAAACGTTATAATAAATGTTTTTTAGACAATTTCTAACTATCCGTATACATAATTATAAAGATATTGGCATATTCTTTGAAGTCCAATATATGATTAATACGAAACCAATCTATTTAATTTTTTTCTTTTAGATAACGTTTGTGATTTTGATAAAATATGTTCCTTATTAAAAACTAGTTCATTTATTAAAAAATCCACTAGCTCCAGGTATACTGAGATGGGACTTTCGCAACCCAGGCGATTGTTACCTAACCTAACCACTGAGCTACCCAGGACCTAACTGACTGAAGATGACGGATTTTTCAAACACTTATTATTTTTCGCTACTAAAGAGTTTATTTTCATCAATGTTCAGAGTGGTAAGTATAAGTTTAACGCTAACGCGTTCACTAGTGAGCGCGTTAAGAATTTGTATGAAGATTTGTAGTTCTTGGTAGTTACCGCTAGGGGCGCTGTACCGGTTTCCATACTAAAATCTTAACGCGCTCACTATCGACAATGAACGTAAACGTCAAAAAAACTGACACTAAGCGTGCAGACAATCCACGCAAACAGCAATATTTTAACGTTTTTTTGCCTTAAATTGTACAGAAAAAGTATTATATTAAAATGAAACTACATTGTTAACATAAAATATAGATTTTTAATAATTTCACTAATAACTATGAAATTAAAATTAGTCCATGACGACATTTTGCTATGAGGAAGTATATTGTGAAAAAAACGAAAGCACTAAAAAATCACTTAACTAGATGGCGACTCTACCAAAAGTTGTTTTTTGCAGGAAACGAATGGACCAAAGATAGTCATTCCCGTTCCTCTTAACTAACATATTTAAAAAACTGAAATTCGATAAGTTGAAACTAAAATATCAATACAAATATGAAAAAATACAAATTAATTTTCAAAACTCAATAAACAACTCATATTCTATTTATACTTTTTCGTATTTGTATTCATATCTAATTCATAATTCGTTTCCTGCAAAAATCAATTGGTAAAGGCGCCATCTAGTGAGGTGCTTTTTGTGATTTCTTTTTTTTCTTAAAATACTTCCAATTATTTACAAAAAGTTGTAATCTTCTTTGATTAAATCGGAGGCTTTTTCTGCTATCATGATAGTAGGAGCATTAGTGTTGCCACTTGTAATTGTTGGCATTATACTGGCATCTACCACCCTTAATCCTTTAACATCATGAACTCTTAGTCGCTCATCAACCACACCTTTCCCTTTTGGTCCCATTGCACAAGTCCCAACAGGATGGTATATAGTACTGGCCATATACAAGCAGTAGCATTTCCAATAATCCCGACTCCCAAATTCCAAGCCTTCGCATTGTTTAATATTTACTTTAACTATCTCCCCATTAACGCTTTTAAATAATGTTGTGTTAATAACAGATACATAATCCATTACTGCATCAGCTAATTTATCTAAATCATTTTTCTTTGAAAAAAAACCAGTGTATATTAAAGGATCATCGTTGGGATTTTTACTTTTTAACTGTAACTTTCCTCTAGATTCAGGATGCAATAACACAATAGGCCCAAAGAGAGATTCTCTTTCTTGTGCGGCTTTGTAAAACGAATTAGTTATATCTTCATTTAATCTAAACACATAAGAAGTGAAAGCAGTTGGTATGGGAGATCGAACAGGAACAGGTAATATTATTGCTTGGTAGTCGGGATAGCTTTGCGTTTTATTCAGAGCGACAAAACCCATTATTACTGGATTTGGATATTGATTAATGTGTGTTATTATATCTAAATTCTGGACAACTGACGCTGGATTATTTTTACCAGTAAGCATTACCGATACGCAAATGTGATCTTGTAAATTTTCACCTACATTTGGTGAATCAATCAATACTTCAATATTAAGATCAGTCAAATGTTTTCGAGGTCCTATTCCAGATAACATTAATAATTTTGGAGTATTCAATCCTCCTGCTGAACAAATAACCTCTTTTTTGGCTTTCACTTTGATAATTCTGCCATTTGTTAATTTAACCTCAACTCCAACAGCTACTTTATTCGCTAATAATATTTTTTGAGCTAAAGTATTTTTAAGGATGTGTAAATTAGGTCTGTTTTTAATAGGTCTTATAAAAGCATATGCTGTACTCTGGCGAACATTATTGTCTATTGTAAACTGAGATTCAGCATATCCGAGTTGTTTGAAACCATTATAATCTAGTAAAATATCGTGTCCATTTTCTTTAAAAGCTTGAAGATAATCTTTTGTTCTTTCCTTCCAAAATGGTAAGGTAACTCCTAAATACCCCTCTGTATTATGTAGAACCGCAGACTCGCTTTCCATTATAGCTGGACTATTGAGTTTTTCACTTTTTTTGAAATAGTGAGTTGCATTTTGCCAATTCCAGCCTATATTACCGTTGTCCTCCCAACTATCATAATCTGCTTTGTTTCCTCTAACATGTAACTCATAATTATTAGCACTTGAACCGCCGAGGGATTTACCGATATAGAAGTTTAATTTTTTTGTTGTTGTTGCTTGGCTTGTATATCCATCGTTGACTGTGGTGTAGTCCCAGTTAAAGGGAATAAATGGAAATAACCCAGGAATCTGTAAATAAGTAAATGTTAACGGTAACCTACCCAAGCACTAATAAACTTATGATGATTGTCATCCATCAAAATATTATCAGTCACATTAACACATTTTAATGTCTTATTGTTGTGATGAAAACTTGATAATAAGTAATTAATATGAATATTCTCACATAAGAGCCCAGATCTGGATCATCCCCTGCTTCAATAAGAAGCACACTCAAATTAGTAATTTCAGTAAGTCTATTGGCGACTACGCAGCCAGCAGAACCAGCTCCAACAATAATAAAGTCGAATGCTGCTCCATCTGTAAGAAATCAAAGAAGTAATCTTGGATTACTTAATATAAGACTATCATCAAATAGAGGTCGATATCACAGTGATGCTTACTATGTTAGTTCTGTGACTGTGAGAGGGAAGCAACTTTCCAAAACCCGGTCACCAGAAGGGTGACCAAAATGTATAATATAGAGCTGCTCTATGTTTTAGAACGTATGTCAAGTCCTTAGTCTCGGTTGAATCTGCAGTCGATGATATTGAGGATATTAATAAGTTAGTAATGATATTAATGATGATGATTAATAAAAAAAATAATTTGTAATATACAAGTTATCATATAAATCTAGTCATATTGAATTTAGTTTGTATAGTTGTTGACTTTTTATTTAAATTGTATTTATTTCCATTCGGGACGATTGACAAACCTATTATAAGCGAACGCTTTTTCTATGAAGCTTTTCCTCTTATTCAAGCAAAATGCCAATATTTACGGTAAAAAATGAGAAAAACAGAATCATGAACTTTTCAATCATGGGCTCGCTAGAAAAATCACGATAATGATTCAAATTGCGTTGATAAATATTTTTCGGATTAATTTTATTATAATTATATCTATCTAAAATAATAGCTATAAAACTTATGTTCCCTGTTAGTATAAAAAAAAACTTAATTCACTTTTAATATTGAAGTGAACATAATATCAAAACTTTTTTTGACCCAGGGAAAATGCATTACGCACTATCCCTGCCGCCTTACGGGAAGGGTAGGGGTGTGTGGGACTCTCCCCCACTTAAAGCCTACCCACTAAAAACCCTGGGCATGCCCTCAATGAGGAGGTATTAAAAAAATTAAAGAAACCAAAAAATTATGTCACTAGATGGCAGCACAAATTCGAGGATATAAATTTCGACGTTTGGTTTATACGTCAACATTAGTGATGAACCAACTTATTGGTTGAAGAACCAAAAGCGGAGCGCAGAATTGAGCTTGTATTTGTATGTGTAATTATGCATCCACAAAACGAATTATATTAATATAAATATTAAAATCAATTCAGTCTAGGCTGTCACATATTACTTGTGAAAGTCGAAAACTTTGCCAATGGTTCGCAAAACTAAGGCAGGAGTCTCGTACTGACAAGAATCGGCAAGAAACTCAGCAAGGGCTGATTCTTCTCAGTAAAAGATCTCCCGCCTTAGTTTTGCAAACCGTTGGCAAAGTTGTCGACGTTCACAAGAACTACGTAACAGCCTAGACTGAATATATTTTGTTATATACCGGATGCATTTAAAATGACTCTCCAAAATTTTTCTAAGCATTAGGTATCGTTAATAGACCATATAGAGGAAGCAATTAAAACCACTCTCCAAATTTGAGTATGTTAATCTTTACGACAAATAATGAAATACGGGTTTTTTCTTTTTATGTCGTTTAGAACAAAAATGTTGAGTTATATCGTCACCAAGTTATTTTCAAAAAACCTACATTTGTGGACTCTCTCGCTGCCCTGTACGTGCGCTTTACGCACTACGTTGCACTTACCCCTCCCTCCCTTGCCGCAATTCATTGATAGTAATAATAGCAGCTACCTAAAATGTTTTCGTTTTGTCATGCTTGGGGAAATGGTAAATAAAGTTGAAACCTCTTCATACTTTTACGGGCTTAGGACCGTCAAATTGCCTAAATACTATTAGATACCTACTATTACAATAGCTATACTGCTTTAAATTTATAAAGTAAGTAGGTAAGTAAATATCGAGTTACCTAAAATTCTGTTTAGTTAGGTAGGTATTTAACTAGCTATTCTTTTGAAATCAGGCGTATTTAATCAACTTTATGTGCATAATCAACTAATCAATTTACCTACCTACTTTAACTATTTACCTACGTATACTTTAATAATTGTTCAAAGTACATACCGTTCCTCTCCAAACAGAGTCTTGCACCTTTTCTGCACATTGTCTTTAAATTTTGCGAGCACTACCGTGTCATTTTTCACTTGGTAAAATGCCGCTCTGATTTGCACTTTTAAATCCTCAAGGCTTTGTGCTTCCTCAACATACACACGTCTTTTAATTTCGCCCCACAAATAAAAGTCACACTGTGTTAGGTTCGGCGATCGCGCTGGCCCCACTATGCGGCCTCCGCGTCACGTTGATCACCATGTTTGTAACATTGCACCATTTCATAATATTCGCGATTGGAATACATTACGACGCGCGAAGTGTGGGGCTGCGGCGGGTGGCACGTGTGGCCTGCGCGAACGCCGGACCGGACCTAACACCGTGTGACGTTTATTTGTGGGGCGAAATTAAAAGACGTGTGTATGTCGAAGAATCACAAAGCCTCGAGGACTTAAAATTGCAAATCAGAGCGACATTTAACCAAGTGAAAAATGACACTGTAGTGCTCGCAAAATTAAAAGACAATGTGCAGAAAAGGTGCAAGACTCTGTTTGGAGAGGAACGGTATGCACTTTGAACAATTATTAAAGTATAGGTAGGTAAATAGTTAAAGTAGGTAGGTAAATTGATTAGTTGTTATATATAAAGTTGATTAAATACGCCTGATTTCAAAAGAATAGCGAGTTAAATACCTACTTTGAATTGGTTTAACTAAACAGAATTTTAGGTAACTCGATATTTACTTACCTACTTACTTTATAAATTTAAAGCAGTATAGCTATTGCGGGAGGGAGGGAGGGGTAAGTGTAACGTAGCGCGTAAAGCGCTCGTACTGGGCAGCGAGAGCGTCCACAAATGTAGGTTTTTTATAAATAACTTGGTGACGATATAACTTAACATTTTTGTTCTAAACGACATAAAAAGAAAAAACCCGTATTTCATTATTTGTCGTAAAGATTAACATACTGAAATTTGGAGAGTGGTTTTAAATGCTTCCTGTATATGAATATAATTCGACGTGTGAATACATAATGGCACATATGGAAATGGTGCACATAAAAAAAACAAGCTGAATACTGCGCTCCGCCTTTGTTCTCGATTCCAAACCAGAATTCGGATGAATCAAGTAAATTGAATTAACGAGCAACGATTAATTTGGCTCATCACTAATGTTGACGTATAAACCTAACATCGTTCTTTCACACGTAACATAATAAATAACTTAAACTTACAATTCAAATAAATTAAAATTAATTTGAAAGCTAGATATTATAAGAAACATAGAACGATGTCATATTTATTAATTTTCGATACTCAATTTACTTTTATTAACCTTAATAGGAAGCATTTATAAAAAATGTAGTTCCCGAAATCAAACTAGATGTCGCTACGGTACTTTCTTAATTTATAAATGATTAATATAATAATAATAATAATTTACTTACCTGACACTTTAGCGCTGCTGGGATAATCGAAGGAAGTTAAATGTAATGCTGACATTCCTAATAATATGTATTCTACCAGGTAAAAGATACTGTCGAGGGAAACCACCCCCAATCTCGATATTATATCAGTTAACGACATTCTGAAACAAAAAATATTATAGCATGAGGTGATTATCAGTAGGAATTATCTGGTAGCCAAGAGTATCTTTCGGAGTTTGCCACTAGCAGCGCCCTACCACTGATGCTGCTATACATCCATAAATCCATTACATCATCCATTCGTGGTATGCGTAAGGTGTGACGATACATATTTTTCAATGCAGTTGCTCATAAAGCGCTATTTTTTAATCAATTGTAAACACCGAAAGTGAGTCTTTAAACACGCGTTAATTAAAAATGTACTGAAATCCTTTACTGCACACGTGCTTAAAAGTATTTTTTTAATTTTCTTTTTTGGACGAGCACCAAAGTAATTTAAAAAAAACTTGATGATAATATATCCAACTTTAGAGGCAAAAGTATAACTAAAACTACATATCATAAATTCCTAACTCGAACAGATATTTTGCTTGATCTCAAATGTTTATGTCTGGGCGCCGTTCAAAAAATTTGTCTATTAAAGTAAATATTTTTGTTTAAATTCTTTGCGTTTTTCTGAAATATAGATAAACATACGAGCACAACTTTATATGAATTACATAATGTGTGATGTTGTTTTTGGTTTGGTATTAAACCTCTAAAGATATGTTTCATATGCTGAGGCAATTTAAAGATTATAACCTTTTATTTGTATTGTATAGCCAAAATAATATTTTATCTGTGGACTGTCTATAGAATTGTACCTTATATATTATAATAAATAAGTGCTTCGTAGTAAAACTGGTGTGAATTTCAATAAATTAATAATAAATATTAACGATTACCCAATATAGGTACTATATTTATATAGAAATTAATCTCTATTTCTCTTGGTCACACCATCACACGAACGGCTGGACCGATTTTACTAATTTTTTGTTGTCTGTTAATCTCAGAAGAAGATTTTTATGAAAAAAAAAAGGAAATTGTGTAGAAAGTTTGAAAATTTTAGAACATAAAGAAAGAATTCTTTAATAGTCCTCAATTCATAATTTTTTACAATAATTAATAAAAAAACAATATTATTTGAATTTTGTGCTATTTATAGTTTTTTTCTTTCAAATGACGTCACGCGGGTGTTATTAGACAAGGTTCCCGCGCATTAGCATTTTTGGGTTTTAAATTGTGCCTCTTTACCATTCGGTGCTGTTTTGAAGGTAACTGCGAATAATGTCGTTACATAAACGCACATGTTTTGCATTAGTCGCAATAGTTTCGCAGATGTATCGCTTTCGCAAGCGATTGTGTCGGTGTACTAATGGCGTTATATCCGGTTTTTCATTCGTCAATTCTAATGATTTATTAATGAGGAAATATTAGGGGTTAAAGTTTGAAATTGCCGTTTTATTATAATAGGTTCCTTGAATTGACATAGAATCTTCATGCTTTGAGGTTTTCGAAAGAAACTTTTTTCACATGGTTTCTATGACGCTCTTCTTTAAAAAATGTGAAACATTTGAATATCGCTTTTCAATTGTTTTTTGTTATTCATCTTAGACAAGAAAGATGGATACTACAAATTCGAGTGATTTTTCAATTCGAGTTCCGACGCGGAAGTAACGTGGCAGAAACAATGCAGGCGGAAACCCACAATATCAATATTGTTTTTAGAGGGGCCTGCTAATTAACGCACCGTGCGATTTTGGTTTAAATGCTTTCGTGATGGAAACTTCGAAGACGGCCCACACAGGTGAATAAAGATGAATTAAGAGAGATGGTGGAAGCCGATCCTAGTCAAACTAGCCAGGAATTAGCGGCATGGTTTAACGTTAGCTTATCCACAACATTGACTTATTTTCGTCAAATCAATAAAAAAAAAGAAATATAGGTGCCTCATGATTTGACTGATCTGCAGAAAGAAACGCATGTTGAAACTTGTGTTGCCTTGTTGAATCGGTACAGAAATGAAGGAATATTGCATTGAATTTTGACATGTGATGAAAAGTGGATTCTTTATGATAACCGTAAAAGAAAAATGCAATGGCTGACCTCAGGTCAAACGCCACAACAGTGTCCTAAAGCAAAGCTTACCTACCAATAAGAAGGTAATGGTAACTGTTTAGTGGTCTCAGCATGATGTTATTCACTGTAATTTTCTCCGATCTGGTCAAGCAATAAAGGCAGATGTCTATTGTGCAACTCCGAACAATGTTTCCAAAACTAGCAGAAAAACAGCCCCAACTCATGAATCGATCTTGACCATTATTGCTCCATGACAACGCGAGACCTCATACAGCACGAGAAAACGTTTTGAACCTTCAGGAACTGCAGTTAGAAAATATTCGTCATCCTCCGTATTCGTCAGACCTTGCTCCAACAGACTACCATATTTTCGTGATTGGGACAATTATCTTGTATTGATATCCCAGATAGCAATTTAAACTTGTTTCTGACTTGCAACAAGTTTGATATATCAAAAAAGAAGACATGCTTCACGTTTGCCATGACAACTGCAGCTACTTGCAGCAAGTAAACTTTCTAGTTTCAGCGTGACAAACTTGCACTACCTTTGACGTATCAAAGGTAGTGCAATGGTACCTATGTACTGACTCGAATACCTAGCAGGTACACCATGGATAGTCGAGTATCTGGTATACAGGTTTCGAGGCAAATATTTCTTTACTAAGTTTTTATTAATCATTTGATCATTGAAAAATTTTGGTCCAATAGTAATTTGAATTTAAACTCAGACCACAGCACAGAGTCTAGCCTAAGAGCCAAAGTAATTAACTGTAACGGTTGGATTCGATTCCCATATTAAGATCACATTAAACGGAATATTATTAATACAGTCTAACAATATAAACTGTTACCGCGATGCATTAATTGAACAGCGCCATCTAATTTGCAGATTTAGAACTATTCGGGCATCTATGAAGATGATGGGTGTGTTACATATAAGTATCTTTGTCATAGCAACATTCAAACAATATTGTCGCAAACTTCATATTTAACATAGCAATATAGCAGCGACATTGTCACAAACTTGCGTCGTATATTTGACGCAGCAATTTAGATCCATGTAAAAATCAAACTTGCCCCAAGTTAGCATGCTATCTGGGATCTAAGTTACGAATTTTTCAAATTTCAGTTTTTTAATATGTTAGTTAAAAGGAACGGAAATGACAGTCTTTGGTCCATTCGTTTCCTGCAAAAATCAACTTTTGCTAGAGTCGCCATGTGGTGGAGGAGCTTTTTAAGTGCTTTCGTTTTTCTTTAATACTTCTTCATTCCTTATTACATAAGCTATCTGCCATGAAAGTCCCGTCAAAATTATTTTAACCGTTTCAGAGTTAAGCCGTAACAAACAGACACAAAAAATGTAAAAAACATTATTTTGGTATTAAACGGTTAATAAAATTAAAACCGTAAGATACGCTCATTCATTCATCGGGAGTTTCCCGATCAAAGAGTAAAGTTACCTATTCTAATATTCACACTCGCGATCCGCTGGATTGCTGAGCCATCGAAGTAAAGTAAGTAGGTACTACGCTAACGTTTTAAACTTTTTCTATTGCTAATGTTTTTAAAAATAATCGATTGTTAAGCGTTGATTAGGAAAACGTAATCGATAGCGACTGATTATTTGAAAAATCGATTAATGATAATCGATTCCGCACATGACTAATACATTGTCTGTTTACACATCACAAGTAGAGCTGTAAAAGTAACGAATAAAACTGTACCCGTATGTATTCGTTACTCTAAAAATCATTACTCGTTACTTTCGTATCGTTACGTTACTCGTTACTTCCAATACCTCATTTTATGTCAGAGCTACGAATCGAATTGTACAGTATGATATCGCAACATTCGTTATTTGAAGTAACGTTACTTAAATAAGTACTGAAAAATGTTATAATTCAAAAGCACCAAATGGGAGTAGAAAATCATTTATTTATAATAAAATTAGACATTTTAGGGCAGGAATCTATAGTTCATATTTAAAAATAAAATCTTTTCCTTTAATATTTGGACCGATTTGGAAAAAATCCTTTCAAATGGTACCGAGGTAGTCATCACTGATAAATATTTCTCAGACATATTTGAAAGTTCGGGATATAAAAAATAATGCGTTCTTCTAGATATTGCCTCATGCAATAAATAGTTAAAACTCAAGTGTCTCAATCATTCATAACCCTTAAAAGATAAGAATTAAAAATACGCAATAATAATAAATCAAAACATATACCTATTTCTATTCTGTTATTAATACTTTCTTATCTTGTTTCTGTACCAAAATCAAACTTTTATACACATAATAATTTTACTCAACAGTAAAATACTTGGACGAGTAATTTCCAAATTATTCTATAACAAACGTCGTTTTTTGTAACGTACATTTTAAACTCATCGAATAAGCGCGCGCAATGGGCGCATGCGTAATATCGGTAGGCAGATACCATCAACAAGTACATAAACTGAAACAGTATTGGTACTTGGTACATACGAAAAATGCGAGTAACGAAATGCATTCGTGAGTAACGTTTCGTTACTCGGTACTAGACGGCGCACCCGTTACTCAGTACCGAATACATACGATTTGCTACAGCTCTAATCACAAGTTTACATTACTTTTTTTCCTAAAATATTGCATTGCGAGTATTGCAATAGATTGAATGAAATGTCTAAAGTAAGGCGATTATGGAATAATTCCTACTGTAGATACTTCAGTGTTCAACAAGCCAAAAAAAAGTTGCCAATTATATCATGCAAGCATTCGGAATTGAATCATTACCAAGGTCAAACTTACAACAAGTTTAAAGGTATACCATTAGCTTCAAAAGGCTGGTTACATCATAAATCCAAAGGTGATTACTTTATTATCTACGGCAATGCTAACGAAAAAGAAGAAAAGCCTGTTTACAGAAAGAGTTTCGAAGAAATCGGCGTGTGTAAAGAACTTATTGAGGTTATGTCCGATGCTGGCTATTCTCTGCCAACTGAAATACAAACAAAAGCAATACCGACTATTTTGGAGGGGCATAATTCCATAGTTACAGCAGAGACAGGATGCGGGAAGACTCTGGGATATTTACTTCCTATTTTTCAGCACATTCTTAATTGGAAACCAAGTATTCCTGAAGAGTTCAACAGTCCATTAGCAGTGGTGATAACACCCAGTAGAGAATTAGGTAAAGTATATGTGATTCTATTTCTATTTTATAACAATGATTTTAATGTTATTTTACATATTTTTTTAAAATAATATATGATATTTACTGTAGCTTAAACGTTACATTTGTATTTTATGGAATCATGATTGTCTGATAGTAGACAAATAGTATCAAAGGTCTACTGTAAGAAACAATTGCTATTGGTAGCAATTCTGTTGGACAAATTAAATGACATTTAGTTTTAATCCTGTCAAACTGCATTTTTAATTCTGTAATCAACTAGGATAACAGAAAAAACTTTGGCTTTGAATATAGTCAAATTTGGTTCATTCGCTAGAAAAGGTAAGAACTGTTGTACTTAGCTTATTACAACAGAATTGGCACCATTCACGACTTAACTACAGTACTGAATTTACATTTACTTAAATTATTTTAAATATAATATATGTCTATAGCTAACCAAATAGGGGATGTGGCGCAGAACATAGCACAAAATTTGAATTTAAATGTGACAACACTTGTTGGAGGTAAAACAAAACAAAAGATGATCAATCCTCCCATAGAATATTGTGATTTACTTGTGACAACACTTGGCGCTTATAGCAAATTGGTGACAACCGGAATCTTCAAGATACACAATATCCATCATGTGGTGTTAGATGAGGCAGACACATTGTTGGATGATAGTTTTGTTGAAAAGTTATCTTATGTGTTGAGGAAATTTTCGGTTCGTATAATTTGGTATTAAGTGTTAATTTAATATTAAGTATCAATATTAAGCATATGCTTATATTCATAATAACTTTAAATAAGTTATTGACCTAACATCTTGTTGTAATTTCTTATTTTCTGACATAAACTATCTTTTTGACATATAAAAATATATTATTATAATTATACTATTTACTAATCTAAGTTTTAAATAATTCATTGACATTATACATTATGATACATATAATTTTCTTAATTCTTGACATTATTAGGGTGTCACTTTAAAATTTAAATAAAAAATTACAAATTAATACTTTACATTGAATAAAATATTAAAAAAACTGAACCAATACAATGTTAATAAAAGTTATTACTTGACATTACTATTGTAATTTATAAATTTAAATATTTGTATAGAGTGCCTGACCTCAAACTGACTGATCTATTTGAAATATTATTAAGATCCTGTCATTCGAAATTGTCTTGCCCTACAGGGTCATATGTCCACATGTTTATACTTATGCCATTTATTCTTTGTTACATACAAGTATATTGAACATAAATGATTGATGGATATACTATTATATGGTGTTTCCTTACAACTTAAAATGATAATAGATTTGATTAACTAATATGTTAAATTGCAATATTGAGAACAAACAAAAAATGTTGATTGAGTACTGAAAAAATATTGCTTGTGTGCAAATTAAAAATAAAATAAATTACATTTACATAAATGTTGAATTAGCACAATGTATGGTCATTCATAATACAACTATTTCAAAAAACCTTTTCCAAGTGTCTTGTAGTGTGATAATTTAGTTGAACATTGATATGACAGTAGCAAAACGCATTATAACATATTTGTCAAAGCTTCTATAAACAATTCGATATTTTGTGATATACTCATGATACTTCTAAGACTCAATATTTTTTTTTTACTTCTTCAGATACAATATAAAGTAGAAATACAGACTCCTCCAGTTGGTTGTCAACTAACATTTGTTAGTGCAACAATGCCACAGGAGTTACCAGAAGCAGTCCAATCGTTTGTTGATCCTGATTCTCTGAAAACCATAACCACCTCCAGGATACATAAGTTACTGCCACATGTTCCACAAAAGTAAGCTTAAGAATATAATTTTTGAATTAATCTATATTTATAAAGGCCTGAGAACACTGCGTTTTTTAAACGCTCAATTGAATCACGGTTGTAGCGATAACAGATGTATGTGTTACGATGCAGTAGCATTTGAATCGGACACTATGGTGTTGTGCATTTGAGCCAATACTAAATGGAGGCTTGGATCTTCATTTTTTATAAAAGTCGGGCTCTTTTTAAATCTAAATAACTAGGTATTATATTGTAACGTAAAATTTACGTCACATGTAATTTTTCATACAACTTGGCTGAATGGGCCTAATCCCGAGGAAAATTTGTTTCGTAAAAAAAAAAAATATAAACTTCACTGTCGGTTTTGACATTTTGTCACTTCACGACCTTTTTAAATAGCAAAAAGATGTGACTCTTTTGTTATATTTTAATCTTGTTGCATCAACGGTATTTAAGTAAAAATACCTTATATTTAATAATGGTAAGCATTATTCTTCATGGAATTATAATTTTTCTTATAGTATTTTCCTATTTTCAAATTTTTTATCTTCGCAGGTGGAAACATAAACCTACTTAGGGGTCCACCTTGCCCCATGTTGCTTTAGTTTTTTGTTTTAAAACGGTAAGTTTTCGAAAGGATCGACCGATATATTTTCGTTTGTTTTGTTTTCTAAATTTTAAACGGTGTGATTTTCTTTTCAGCCGTTGGCGTTTTTTTTTTTATATACAAGTTTTCTTGTACTTCAATTTTGATGTACTGATCATAACCTTTACCGCATGAGTCACGCCACACTCACTTGATACATCACAATCTTGGGCACGCCAGCTTAGCACTATATAATTAAGAAGCAGCTATGTAAGCACGATGCATTAAGGAGCAGCTCATTTGGTGATGTAAAACCTTTTTATTAATAGTTCGAAAATTCCAATCACCTCTAAGACTAGAGATTATAAACTTAACTTTAATTTCAAAATATATAAAAGTTTCATTAAAATATATGGCAAACCAAAAGTAAAAGTTGTTGTTTGTTATTTACAAGCCCCCCTTCACATTATTTTTTTAATATATTACAATTGACGCCAGCTCACAGGGACTTGGTTTTGAAGTAGCGAGCTCACTTTACAAGCTTTTTGGTTTGCCATTTTATTAAAATTTTATTTGAGTGTGGTTCAAATTAAATGAAACATAATATGCCTACTTTATTTTAATGTCATAATAACTAATTTGTGTGTACTACTTTATTTTCCCTACCATTTATCTTTGGATTTGTTGCTTGCGGCTAAGCATTTGCTTATTTATGTGAATACTTGCTGTGTTTACACCATTTATTTCACAAGTGATAATGTGAAAAATATTTTTTGTTCAACCACCTACTAAAAGAATTTACTAGTGAAAGTATAAACAAACAGACAAACTCTGTATTGTCCTTTTGTTTAAACTGATAAAAACATAGCTATTTGATGTGATCATTTGGTTCATACTTTGTTATTTACATTTCTAAATGCAAATTCACAAAGGTTATTCTCTTGTTTATGCTATATAAGAACTATTTGTTCCAACATTTTATATCTACTATATAAAATAGTTTGTTACATTAAGCTTAAACTTTTATAACAGGTTTCTTTTATAAAAGACAATGTTCTGCAGGTTATTTTGAGTGGTTAAAGAAATTATTTTTATTGAAATTAAACATAGAACAATAATAGGTATTAATTAAAATTGTCATAAACTTAATATTTGAAATTAAATTATTAAAACTTATGTTACAACTTAAAAATATATTACACTTAAAGTAATTTAAAACTTAATTCAATAATAATTTGAAAACCTTTATCATCATTGTGGTATTTTGTATTTATTGAACTTGTAACAATTATCATTATTTGCATTTACTTAGAACTTGAAGTTTTAAAATTAATTTTGAATTTTTTGTTATTGAACAAGTGTATACTTAATTTAAGATTAACTTAAAACATTTAGCATTAACTTGAAACTTTTTTGTTATTTGAGTCATATTATTGCAGTAATAATTTACATAAAACAATTGGAACTTAGTTGAATTTTGACAAATAATTTTGACATAGGTTATTAAATTTGTTAAACTTGCTGCATCTTGCTGACCTTTTTGTGTCTTATTTGAGTGAATTGAATAATAATTTCACTGCTATTTTTGCATTCCACAAAAATGGAAACGGAAAAACTTGCACTGGCTACTGCTTCACAGCCTAAGGAACAGTCAATTACTGTTGCAACAGATACAAGTGATTTAGCTTCACCGCCTGCTTTTACACACCCACTTGCACCTGAATTGATAAATTTGACTGATAATATTACACTACACAATTCAAGATTGCTTGATTCGCAACCAGCTTTGCAACCAATAACCACAAATGCTTCACACAATAGTACAAATTTAGGTCATAATTTTGGTGTTGACCATTTGAAAAAGTCAACATATTATAAACGTCCTGATGTCTCCAAAAGTAAAATTTTGTTTGATGGTAAGTCTTGTGTTCGTGAATTTATAACTAGTGTTGATGAGTACATGGTTTCCAGAGATATTGATGAATACTTTATTGTCACATCGTTTTCAGATTTTCTTACTGGTGTTGCAAAAAAGTGGTTCCGCACTGTTCGAGTGAATTATAGTTCTTGGTATTCTCTTAAAGTCGATTTACTTAAACGTTTTGATAAACTTGATTTTGATTACCAACTTGAATTTCTTTTACGCACACGTAAACAAAAATCCACAGAAACTTTGTCTGATTTTATAATAGAACTGCAGGATATGTCTTTTCGTCTTTCTGATCCACTTTCGGAACAAAATTTAATTAACATTATTAAGCATAATATGTTGCGCTCATATGCCATGTATTTTGTTGGCCGAAACATAACTTCTATTGACCAAATTGTTCGATTGGGAAGAGAAATTGAAGAACTCGCTTCAGATAGTAATTCTATTAAATCGGAGTCACGCTCATCTTGTTCTAGGGGTAGTAAAATTCATTTAGTTAACGTTAAAAGTGATAAAAATTTAACTTGTTTAAAATGTAAACGTCAAGGTCATAACTATAGAAATTGTTCAAGCATTCCTGGCATTATTTGTTTTAATTGTCACAGACACGGAGTGACTACCCTCACCTGCGACTGTAATAAATCACAAAATTGTAACAAAAAAGTCGAAATTTCTGAGCCGGTTCCAAAAAACTAATTAGGCCTCATCGAGCTCCGCTTTGTAGCGAAGTGCGTCGAGACTCGATGGAAAATAGAAGTGTTAATGTTAATAGTGGACATAGAAAAGAATTTGATGATTGGATAAATTACTTGAAGGTATTTTTTAAAAATTATAAAGTAGCTCCAATTCTTTTTGTTAAAAACACTGATAATAGACCTTATCTTAAATTTAATGTTGGAAATAGTAAATTTACTGGAATTTTAGACAGTGGTGCTAATTGTTGCGTTTTAGGTGCGAATAGTCACACACAATTTTTAGAATTAGGATATAAACTTCAACCCATACATAAAAAAGCTCATACAGTGGATGGATCTTCTCAAAATATAATTGGAATTTTAGATTTACCTGTGACTTGTGATGATGTTACACAAATAGTTTCCTTTATGGTTATACCCTCCTTTGAACCAAATATAATATTAGGTTTTGATTTTTGGTTAAAATTTGACTTGGCTAAAGATTTATTTAAACACATAACTTTTGTTAACGACAGAGATGTAAACGTTTGTTCTGTTACATCTGCTGCTCATCTTTCTCCTTCTGAGACAAAACAACTCGATAAAGTAATTAAATTGTTTAAAGATATTTCTTACAAAAAGAATGGTTTGGGCTTAACTCATAAAACTTTACATAAAATAAAACTACATTATTTTTGGAAAGGTATGTTTAATGATATACATAAATTTATAAATTCTTGTGAAACTTGTAAAGCTTACAAACATTCAACTTCTAAACCGCTTGGAACTATGATTAATCCTAAAAAGGTAGATAGACCCATGATAATGATTAGTATGGATTTAATTGGTATTTTGCCTAAGACTTATTCTGGTCATAAATTTATTTTGTCCGTAGTAGACGTTTTTACAAAATATTGTTGGTTATTCCCCTTGGCTAATGCAACAACTGGTTCAATTTGTAAGTTCCTTGAAAAAGACATTTTCCTGAAGTTTGGATGTCCAAAGATAGTTATATGTGATAACGGAACCCAGTTCACTTCAAAGAATTTTGTGAATTTTCTTAAAAGTTTTAATATTAATAAGATATTTTATAATACTTTGTATACTGCACAAAACAATCCTGTTGAACGTTATAATAAAACAATTGAAACTTGTATATCATGTTTTGTTCGTGATGATCATAGAACTTGGTCTAAATTTCTCCCTCATGTTCAATTAGCTATGAATAGTAGTGTTAATTTAGCTACAGAATTTACTCCAAACTTTCTAATGTTTGGTAGGGAATTAATATTTGATGCATCTTTACACCGTTTTAGTAATTCTTTTGATAATTTAACTCAGATCGATCTGGTTGATCGTTCTAAATTTGCAACTTTTCTTGCTTCGCTTGAAGATATTTTTGTTAAGGTTACGAATTCTTTGTTTAAAGCATACAAACGTAATGCTAAATATTACAACAAAGGTCGTGGGGTCACTTCTTATGATGTGGGTGATATTGTTTGGAGAAGAAATTTTGTTCAATCTAGTGCTGCTCATTATTTTTCGGCAAAACTAGCTCCAAAGTTTATTAAATGTAAAGTAGTTGATAAAATTTCTAATAACGTTTATATTTTGAAAGATTTAACTAAAGGCACTACCGGACGTTATCATGTCAAGGATATTTTGAAAACTTAAATTTTGATCATTTGTAATTTTATTGTTTAAATAAATAAACTTTTGGGTCGGTTCTTGTGATTTGAGTGAAAATCGGGGTTGTAAGGATTTTATTTGCGTGAAGAATGAAAGGTATCCCCGAATGTTAGACGATGAAAGAAAGGATATCATTCAATTACAAATTCTGCTCTCATATAAGTAATATTAATACTTTCCAAATTATTAGTTTTGTCATATAGTATTGGATCTTAGTAAATTTGTTAAATTAATTTAGAATTAACTTAGTATTCCTTCTTTTTACACACATCATAAGATTTTATTATTCTTGTATAGGACAGAATTTTCTGTTGGGATTTTTAGTCCTATTATTTTTCTGTACAGATTTATTTTTAATTTTGTATAAGTTTGTACATTATTTACATACACAGTAATAGTATGTAGTTTGTACTTTGTATACGTTATTATTTTGTTCGAATTTGTGTTACACTCGGATTAGACTTTCTTTGAGTACTCATAAAACCTTGGATTTGACATCCTTTTTTGACCTTATTGTCCTCCATAGGAGACAAAATTTTGATTTTGATCTTTAGTCTATGTTTGTTCACATTTGTGATCAACATTTTTTTTGTGTGCTTCATGTTCGGAAGTTCGGTGGTGTTGAGCCGACCATGATTGTTGCTTTTGTCATAAGACATGCTTATGATTGAAAGTTTTAGGGGTTACATTTTTAGAGTCTGCGACTTTATAGTCCAGCAGATCTCAAACAGTTTGTTAAGGGGACTTAGATTTTTTTAGAGTCTGCGACTTTATAGTCCAGCAGATCTCAAACGGGTAATTTCAGGGGTTAAGTTTTTTGAGTCTGTGACATTTTAAGTCGAACAGATCTCCACACCCACACACGTATACACACACTCCTACACACACACACACACACACACACACATACACACACATACACACACACACACACATACACACACACACACACACACACATACACACACACACATACACACAAACACATAAACACACACAGTATTTCTTATTTATTGTTTAATTTGTTTCTTAAACAGCGTTTTTTTTTGTATTTTAATGCCATTTGCTGTCGATATTGTTTGATGGCCACTGCGAACATCGAGTTTTGCCTCGATTAGTTTTTGGTTTGTGATCAGTGGACGTGTGGTCCGCCATATTTATGTTGGGTCACCACACCGCCATTGTTGACTGCCGACAACAAAACTAAACTGTAGTTTTGTTTTCCTTTGCATTTATGCAGTTCCTTTTAGGTTATCTTTTGAGTTTGCCATTGGTTGGTTTTGTTTGGAAATTTTGAGTTGTAGTTTTTGGCGCCTCGATTCTCGATGCTTTAATCGGGGAAGGGTGAAATGTAACGTAAAATTTACGTCACATGTAATTTTTCATACAACTTGGCTGAATGGGCCTAATCCCGAGGAAAATTTGTTTCGTAAAAAAAAAAAATATAAACTTCACTGTCGGTTTTGACATTTTGTCACTTCACGACCTTTTTAAATAGCAAAAAGATGTGACTCTTTTGTTATATTTTAATCTTGTTGCATCAACGGTATTTAAGTAAAAATACCTTATATTTAATAATGGTAAGCATTATTCTTCATGGAATTATAATTTTTCTTATAGTATTTTCCTATTTTCAAATTTTTTATCTTCGCAGGTGGAAACATAAACCTACTTAGGGGTCCACCTTGCCCCATGTTGCTTTAGTTTTTTGTTTTAAAACGGTAAGTTTTCGAAAGGATCGACCGATATATTTTCGTTTGTTTTGTTTTCTAAATTTTAAACGGTGTGATTTTCTTTTCAGCCGTTGGCGTTTTTTTTTTTATATACAAGTTTTCTTGTACTTCAATTTTGATGTACTGATCATAACCTTTACCGCATGAGTCACGCCACACTCACTTGATACATCACAATCTTGGGCACGCCAGCTTAGCACTATATAATTAAGAAGCAGCTATGTAAGCACGATGCATTAAGGAGCAGCTCATTTGGTGATGTAAAACCTTTTTATTAATAGTTCGAAAATTCCAATCACCTCTAAGACTAGAGATTATAAACTTAACTTTAATTTCAAAATATATAAAAGTTTCATTAAAATATATGGCAAACCAAAAGTAAAAGTTGTTGTTTGTTATTTACAAGCCCCCCTTGCGATTAAAACTCCAAACTCTCCGGCTTTGTTTTCCAGGTAGGTCTGGCGCCTGAAAAATTTATACTAGTTTCTTATAATTATTTAATTTGTTAGTGACCTACCTTTTGGCAAATTTCTTTGCAAACTTACATTATTTTTAATATCACAACTTTCACACTAATTATTTTCTAATAATTTTCTAATAGCAACCATTAACACAGTAAATAAATTAATTTTTTTTATATTACAATATAATGATAGATAGATAATACATTTATTCAAAATGCAGCACACAACTACATTATACAGTGAATAAAAAAAATAAAGACAAAATAGAAAAAAATATTAACTAGGAATAAGTCATGTTCCTGTGTGCAGCAGAGAGAAAGGGTCTAGGCTCAGTGTATTGAAATCGCCGATATGTTGGTGAAGCACTGATTTTCAACCGTCACCCAAATTGAGACAAGCAGGGCCAAAATGAAAGAAAAGGAGTGTAAATCGAAAGAACAAATGAAATATAGATCAGAAGCATATAAAAAAGAATTTGAATGAACATTTTTGATGGTTTTAACATTTAATGTTGTCAGATTGTAATTAATAATGTCAGAAGGTAGTAAATTACTTTTATTAAATAAAAGTTAATTTTTGTAATTCCAGTAAGTTTGCCTTCAATTTTAATTTAAATGTCGATACAGAGGTGAGACCTAATGATGATTAGGCACCCTCCTAACACTGGCCTAATAATACCTAGCTATAGCAAGTGGACACTTGCAGTGGGCAGAAAGTGGGGACCCACTTGCTTCCCTTGATCTGGGTCTGGCTAAATGCTTACCTAGAAGATGCTTTTAATGTCTGGTCTTTGAGTGCACAGGGACATGTGGATGTTTTATTGTTTGTATAACATTTTATTTATGAAATATAATGTATATTACAGGTTCATGCGCATTGGAAAAGCACAAAAACCTATGGAACTTTTAAAATTAGTACAGGCTGACATTAACATGAAGCGACCGGTGATTGTATTCTCGAATAAGACTGCCACTTGCGATTTTGTATCTATGTTTTTAAATGAGAACAATATAGAATGTGTTAATATCAATGGACAAATGGCAGTTGTACTGAAAGAAGGAAAATTTGAATTATTTAGAACTGGTAAAGTTAATGTATTGTCATCAACTGATATAGCGTCACGCGGACTAGACACGACACACGTAAGCATAACCGTATTTTGTTTTGTATATTTTATGTAAATTATTCATTTTATATCTTTTGCACATAATGCGCTGTTTCATGGTGGCAGATGTTATATTTATACAAATTTAAAATATATAATTATTAAACGCTCTTTAATTAAAACAAAAAACATAGAGTATAATGTACAGATGCTAATAGTGATTATGCCTCGCGACAACTACAACTGCATTAGTAAAAATTCTACATCATCGATCGAAACATCAGAATTCAGCTAAATTACACTTTTTTAATGGTTAGAGCAGTCACCCGAATTGCGAAAAGTCGTGGGTTTGAATCCCATCACCTGAGTACATGGGGCTGGAAGATTCTTTAAACTTTCCAGTATAGCATTGTGCATTGTGAATTATAGAAACATTGGTAAAATGTAATATAGATTTAATACCTAATTCGAAAGTCAAAATATTAGTTCTCTTCTTAATACGCATAAGATTACCCGTTTAATTGGAACAAAGACTGAAATTCTACAGCTCTGTTTTTCATTATATTATCGGTTTGGCACACAGGTCCAACACATCATCAACTACGATTTCCCTCTCTACACTGCAGATTATATCCATCGCTGTGGCCGAACAGGTCGGCTAGGATCTACACAAAATTGTTCCATAACCAATTTCATATCATGGCCAAGAGAAATACAACTCGTACAGAAAATAGAAACTTCTGTTCGGAAACATGAGGACCTGCCTAGTGTCAACGCTAACATAAAGAGATTGATCGATAATAGAATCATGAAGTTAACAAAGAGTAGTATTATATAAGTTGTTACATGAACTGGAGATATTGACAGAGTAAGATCAAACTAAAGAACTAATTAATAAATTGGCGTGTACGAATTGAAGCAAAATGTAATAGCAAATGGATATTAAACATACATGATTTCATTAAGTACACAACCTGATCGAACCCTATCACGTTATGTCTGATTTTAGCTTAAAATGGTGGATAGTATCGTTCTTGATAATATAGTAAAAATGATATTACTAATTTGAGCTTCCTGTACTTCTGGATTAAGCTACTGATCTAAACAAATAAAAAAATATAGAAAACATTTTACGTTAGGTAACTGACAATTTCTCTTATCTAGGATAATATTATTGAACATTTGTCTTTTTGTCGGCGTTATTATTTCTTCAAAAGGAATAAAGATTTCATAATTTTTAAGCACAAATTAGTATCCTATTTCAATAAAAAATATAAAAATAACTGTATCATTACAAAATGCGATGCGCTGGCCGCCCGAGCTTAATTTGTGATAGGGCTCTTAGGCGACTTGACTAGTAGCAGAAAACGGGACATTGCAGCATTTATTTTATGTTACCAGAAACATAGTTAATGATAATACCTGATAACTACGTGCTACTGTGATTTTTATGAAGTTATGTTAACAAAATTATATCTTGTTATGAGAATAATAAAATTTATATGGTAACCAAAGTTGATTTTTTATTTTCTAAAATGCAATAATTTTATTAAGACCGCATGTCGCATTCGATAACGTCAAGAGATGGCGCTGTTTATTTGATGTTTTAATAAAGAAGCTCCTCGACTCGTCCATCTATTTTGAATGCGTGAATAATGGTGATACAAATCGTATATAGATATTGAAACGTATGTTGTATCAATAACGTGATATCTGATATCGATGCCCACAGAAACTGTATATTTCTTGAAACACTTGCAGCATCGATAGCATATGTGCCATCGAAAAACGTGCCATTTTGGCACGGTTTTTGATAGATTTCAGTTAGTAGAAATACGAAGTATACGAAAAGAGTATGCTTGTTGATAAGCATGCTAGTTAATCGTTCGCCGGTTTATTTTCGTGTTGAATGAGGAAGTATTTAAAAAAAAAACGAAACCACTAAAAAGCACCTCCACTAGATGGCGACTCTAGCAAAAGTTGATTTTTTCAGGAGACGAATGTACAAAAGACAATAATTTCCGTTCCTTTAACTAACATATTAAAAAACTGAAATTGGAGAAGTTCCCAACTTAGATATCAATACAAATACGAAAAAGTACAAATAGAATATGAATTGTTTATTAAGTTTTGAAAACTAATTTTCTTTTAACTATGATCATGGACAAATCAGGATCGTACCATAGTGACATCCAGTTTGATTACGGGAACTAATGTTTTTTTTTAATACTCCCTCATTGGCAAGTGTGAACGAGACATGCTGCTTAATTTGTTTCCGATTGTGTTCACGATGGCTTGAGGTAACCGAATACAGATTGAATTTACACACACACACACATACAAGTAGTTTCTAAAAAATATATAGTTATAAAAAATATACAGTTTCAGAATCCGATATTGTACATCAAAATATAGTTTCGAATCGATATTGTGAATATCGATATTACCTACCCACCGCTGTAATGGCGTGCATAGATTGAACTAACAATCGAATGGTGTTTTAATGACTTAGGTCTTAGACTAACTCAATAAGACAAAGTACAAGAAAAAAAATGCCTTGTTTAAGTGATAATATATAATTTTCCGAGAGTAAAATCTTTGTATTATTGGTATGGACAGCGTCGGATTAGCCATAAGCAAAAGCAAGAAACAATAAGAGATTTTACAGCCACCAGATAAAAAATATATATGATTAAAAAAATTAAATTATATGAAAAAAAAATTTTTGCTAAATAACAATAAATTATACTTTTAAATGTTTATAGGCGTATCTCACGTCGACGATGTCATTTATCAGTAAATTGAGGTAAATTTGTAGTCAAACTCTCTAGGAATATTCAGAATTTCATTAAACGTAACAAACAATGATTGTTTTGTTTAATAAATAGTTTTAACATAAACATGGTTTTTATGGATGTCATTACTCTTATTAGAGCTGGTGATTTTCTTGCTCGTTCTTATCAGCCAAAATGCGTCCTGAACAAGTGGCAGGGTAAAAATGTTGGACGATTCAAAAGTATTTTTAAAAAGTCTATTTGAATAAAGCTTATTTCGTGTTTGTTTTTAACTCGGCAATCGCTAGAAATTTGTTTAAATTTGAAATTTAAATCTTTACGCATGAAGATTAGAAATCAAAATTTATTCCAGAAATTTGATTTATTTTGGCAAACGTGTTAATGTGCGTCCATGTCGTAAATACCCACATTGAAATAAAGTTGAATATTAAAAAGAAGCCTTTCTTACTAAATAGTTCTGTTAATTTTATTTAATTGTAAACAAAGAAATATTTTTTAAGCATTTTTCATTAGGAATATTCCTCATTATAGCATTGTGAAAGCAAAATTGATCAAATATTATACATTGTTCAGTTCCGAAATAAATATCTTAAGCTCTTGTATTACGGAAATCTGTAACGACAAAGGTATCATTACTGATACAATATAGAAAAATTATTTATGGTTGTATTGGGAGTACACACCTGATTCTTACGTTGGCACCACACGACTGTTTTTTGGAAATTAAATTTCAACTTACATTTTATATTTATATATACAACAGCTGAATATATATGAATAAATATGTAAAGTACTGAGACGTTTGATGTACATATAAAAAGAACAAAGATGTCTCTCTCTCTCTCTCTCTTGTAATGGTGGATCTTAAAATAAAGTGTTCCTCAAATATTTTATGGCTTTATTAATTACAAGTCACAAATAATAACAAATATACACTTAGCGATTGCAGTACCGGATTAGCCACGTAGGAAAATTAGAAAATGCTAAGGGCCCCACACATTTAGGGGACCCCGTGGTAGGGAATAAAAAATAAAAAATTAAACGCTGGTTTGCCGAAATTTTTGGCGCGCTTGTCGTGATATCAAAGAACACGACTACAGACATTTTAAATCAATATGGTTTTTGTTTTTGAGTGATTGAGCGATTAACAACTAATCTTTTTTTTTTAAGTATAATAGACTTTTTTGATAATCATACAGTTTACCAAATTGGTGAAATAACAATAAAAGCCTAAAACATAATTGAAATGAGGGAGTATTAAAGAAAGAAAGCACTAAAAAAGACTAGCAAAGGTTAATTTTTGCAGGAAACGAATGGACCAAAGAAATTAATTGCTGTTCCTTTTAACTAACATGTTTTGCAAAGTTCGAAACTTACATATTAATACAAATACGAAGTGCAAATAGAATATGAGTATAAATAGAGTTTGTTGATTTTCGAAAATTAATTTACTTTGTATACATGAAAGAAAACCATAAGGGTTGACATGGAGAAATTAAGAAAGTACCGTAGCGACATCTAGTTTGATTTTGGGGAACTAATGTTTTGTTTTTAAATACTTCCTCATTGTAGTCTGTTATTTATTTTGCGACACAATACATTGATGTTATAGCGTCTTCTTTTTCTTTTATTAATGGCCTATCTGCGCATTTCACACAATTCTGCCAATATCAAGTGAATAAATAAATTTCTACATCTTCTTCTTTTATTAATGGCCTTTCTGCGCATTTCACACAATTCTGCCAATATCAAGTGAATAAATAAATTTCAAAATCTTCTTCTTTTATTAATGGCCTTTCTGCGCATTTCACACAATTCTGCCAATATCAAGTGAATAAATAAATTTCTATATCTTCTTTTATTAATGGCCTTTCTGCGCATTTCACACAATTCTGCCAATATCAAGTGAATAAATAAATTTCTATATCTTCTTCTTTTATTAATGGCCTTTCTGCGCATTTCACACAATTCTGCCAATGTAAAGTGAAAAAAAAAAAAAATGTTATAGCGTCGATGTAAACTTTTTGTAACATTGACATCCCTATATACATAAACATTTTCGTCACACCGCTCTGACTAGTATGGCGTTTGAATATTTTAGGCCTCCCCCAAAGATAAGATAGATAGATAGATAGATAAATGCTTTATTGAACCACTACTATCACTACATTATAAGTTGTTATAAAATACTTTGTTGGTGTATAGAAACATTAAAATTACAAAAGACAACGATTTATATCACCGAACTAGAGTGTGAAGCAGTAGCTCAAGAGGTATACAGCTCAGTGTTGGATGTTCCATATATGAAACAGACACTGATTTTCAACTGTACCCTAGTCGCCGTTTGGTCGCTAGCGAAAAATCAAAGTGAATGTGGAGTGAGAGTACAGTGTAATTCCAAAGTATTATATAAATAATTTAATGTAATCAATATAAACAATAATAGATAAATATTATTACACTCAATACTAAATAGAAATTCTCAATAAACATTTACTAGGCCTAATTTTTGCTTCTGTAGATACTCTTCCTTCAGTTTCTTCATGAAAGATCCCTTACACAAAAGTCTAAGTGGGGGTGGGATGTTGTTCCAACATTTGGTGGCTTGGTGTCGGAAACTACCAGTAAATGCTACGGTTTTGTGTTGCTGTGTAGATAACAAGAATCGCCTGGACCTCATATTACAACCGTCACGTGGCTGCATATACTTGAGCTTCGTAAATAGGTATTCAGGCTCCTTATACTTAATTAGGTCAAATAACAAACTAGCGAGATGCAAATGCCTACGAAAGGACATTTTCAAGATAGAATGTTTATTGAGGTACGGCGTAACGTGACTACGATCTCCAATGTGATCAGTTCTCCGTCTCCCGCATCCAGCGCCTTCCCGCGACCTTTACCCGATCGTCGGTGTACCTTGTGGGGGCCCCAACGGCTCCTACAAGGTGGCAAAAACCCCGAGCATAGCCCTTTCCATTGCCCTCTGAGCAACCTTGAGCTTCCTTATGAGGCCCATAGGAAGCGGCCACGTCTCAGTTCCTGTGTCATCACTGGCAACACGCACGAATTGAAGACATCTTCGTCTTGAGACACTGCGGTAGATGTTCCAAGAATGTAATGCGAAGCTTCCCGAACGCTGCCCAGCCGAGTTGGATCGTTCGATTTACCTTTCTCTGGAAGTCCTCTCCAGTCCAAAAGCTTAAACACTTCAGTTTGGTCAACAAGCTCTGACCGAGAGACAGATCTCTAGAGAACACTTTGGAGCCTTTATTCCGCTCAATCACCTCCTTAATACATTGAGTAGTAAATTGGCGTATGTCGCGTGTGAGAGACTTCGAG